TCTGTATGTAGAGGGTTTGAAATCAAACCTACTCAGCGTAAGTCAGCTATGTGATCTATACGACTCAGTGTTGTTCACCAAGCGTAAGTGTGAAGTGTTTGATCGAAACCACAGGTGTGTTCTATCTGGTTATAGATCCTCTGATAATTGTTATAAAATTGATCAAACTGACCAAGTTGAACAGTGTCCCCTCACCACCTCTGATATCACAGATATGTGTTGTCATCGACTGGGGAATTTGAATTTTCAGGATCTAACACGAAATATTAATGCAGGTTGTGTGAAAGGTGTTCCCCAACTAAACTCCAATACACCAGATTTATGTGGCGAATTTCTAATGGGGAAACAAACTGAGAGTATTGGAAGAGAAATACCAGAAGACAAAATCACAGAAGTATCAGTACCGACATCTTATGTCACAACTGAAGATGTTACCACTGGTAAAGAAGGTATGAAAACTTGCAATAAGCCCAAGGTTGACTACCAGGAAATGGTCAGGTATGTCTATCTCACTTCCACTGTTGAACCAAAAAACATCAAAGAAGCAATTCTTGATGAATTTTGGGTGTTAGCCAAGCTTGAGGAACTTGAGCAGTCTTCTCGAAATGACATGTGGGAACTGGTTCTGAGCAATGACAAGGTAAAGCAACTAGATGATGAGATATTTATCTCACAGAGCAAATATGCCAATAACGTGGTAAGTAAATTTGGGTTGAAAAAGGCAAAGCCTTTAACAACACCAATGACCTCAATTGAGAAGTTGGGACGAGATTGTGACGGCACACACGTTGATTCCACACTATACATGAGCTTGATAGGAAATTTGTTTTATCTTTCTGCTAGTAGATATGATATTTGTTTCAGCGTAGGTATTTGTGCTAGGTACCAAGCAAGCCCTAAAGAGAGTCATTTGAGTGTTGTAAAGCGCATTATCAGAAATGTTAGTAGAACTCCCAAATTGAGAAAATGGTATTCAAAAGATACTAACAATTGTCTTGCAGGGAACAGTGATGCTGACTGGACAGGATATGTGGATGACAGAAGAAGCATCACAGGAGGTTGTGTCTACATGGGTAACAATTTGGTATCTTTGTACAGTAAGAAACAAAATTCCATTTCCTTATCTAATGCTGCGTGTGAGTACATAGCTGCAGGTAGTTGTTGCACTCAACTTCTTTGGATGCAACATATGTTAAATGACTATGGCTTTCATGAAAAACTCTTGCATATCTTCTGTGATAATGAAAGTGCTATAAATATCTCAAAAAACCCTGTCCAGCATTCTCGAACCAAACACATAGATCTTCGACACCATTTCATCAGGCAATTAGTTGAGCAGAAACGTGTGACTATAGATTATGTGTCCACAGACAATCAACTAGCTGATATTTTCACAAAGCCTCTTGATTTCCTTAGGTTTGATTCCTTGCGTAAAGCGCTTGGAATTTGCCATGTGCAAAACTGAATTTTCTATGATAGTGCAATTAATGTTTTGTCCGGATTGCACTTGAACTTTTTAATCGGACATTATATGTGTCACCTATAACTGTGACATCATTGTTTTTGGAATAAGAATGATGGGAGGTTCATTTTGACTAATTGTTTGTGTGTTAGTTTTTGTGAATTAATTTTTGTTTCCACAGTTAGCCATGGTAGAAGTGTGCTGCCCCCTCTATCGGGAGTGATCAATGACTATGACCTCATTCATCTCAAAGATCATACCTCTATTGGGAGAATTATGTTACCGCATATGCATCTCTGACTTCTATTTAAAAGCTATGTGGATTCTTGGGGAGGTTGCCCTCCTAATGTTTGCTTGAACATCATATCAACCAAAAAAAAAGGAGGAGAAGAAAAATAGTTCGATTTAAAAAAAAAAAAAAAAAAAAAAAAAGGGGGGGGAGAGAGAAGAAAATAGTCCGAATTCAAAAAAAAAAAAAAAAAAAAAAAAGGAGGGAGAAGAAAAGTTGGGATGATATTCAAGCATATATTAGGAAATTCTCCTTGAAGTCCACGATCGAATTGCTGTGCTAATCGCATATGCATTCATAACCCTTAAAAATTACCTAAATTATGGTTTCTTGAGTATGGTCATGGGGTTATAGTTATATCGTGCATCCAAGAGTTTGCTAGGTGGCCTTCTATTGTGATTCTCTTTAAGATTATCTAATTAATTCATGAAAACCAAGCCCTCAACTTTTAATCTGGTGATCTTCTTGATTTTCTTTTCCTTAAAAAGATGTGATTTTTTTTCTTTTAAAATCTTTTTGATTTTTTTTGGGCTTTGTGACTTTTTTTTTTTGCTACTAGTTGTCTCTGGCCACGTGGCTATGGCCATGTCATCTGCCTTCTCTATTGTTTGATGTTTCGTGTGGAGAATATCTTGTTTGTTATTGGTCACGGATTTTGTGGGATCTTCTTCTGATTTGAAAATATCCGGTATTTGAAGAGTCCTCTCTTTTTCTGCCTCTTTTCTCGATCCCTGTGCTTTAAATATATGTCCCTTCTAGGGTTTCTGAGTTTATTGTGGCCTCTGGCTGACTGTTGATACATGGCTGTCTTGATACGTGATATGTTCGAATCTCTGAAGAAACGTTTGGAAATATATCATGATATTTGTGGGATCTGTTATCATCCTATCTTCTGGGCTTCTAGGATTTCTCAATATTTCTTATACTCGACCTCTCTCTCCAATATCTCTCTATGTTTTTCAAAAGCTACTCGTCTCTTCTCTTCTCTGTGCTCCACAGATTTACTATGGAAATAGACAAATTAGTCGAGGGGTCTGAAATGAGGAAGCACAAACAACTGTGCATCGCCATCCGACAAGAAGTCTGGAAAAACGTCAAGGTCTGTGACGACAACAGTGGTCTCTGTAGTTCCCATCTCTCTCGTGGCAACAATACCGGAGCCCATACACATGTGCAGTCACCAGCCCCAAGCTCCAAATAAGGTGTTGTCTCTGATCCGCTGGACAATATTATGGTTGAAAGTGATCCTTCCATGTCTAAGCCAGAAAATGTTGGTGGTGAAGACCATGTCGCAATTGAAGAAGTTACCTTCAGCGCCCATGCGCAGCTTCGCCGGCCTCAAAGGAAGTTTGAGAGCAATTATGGTCTTGAGGATGAGTCATACGCTTCGAGTGGCCACCAATCTCTTTCTGAGCAGACTTATGCTACCTTTACTGCCGTACATCCAACTAGATCTGAGTCATGAAAATCTTCACGGAATCCTAACTTTCTGTTGATTCTCCGTTGTTGGGTCTCGCGGTTACTTGCGAAGGGAAATTTTTCAATGTGGCTCCTGAATTGAGTAAAGATTTTTACCGGTGTTAGAATCAAATTACTGTTAAGCCCTTTGTGTCAATGACACCATTGCCGTTGTTATCACTGTATGCTGGGTTTCCCTGAAGCGTCACTCATGCCGTTTTTATCAACATTGGGGAGTACATCAAAACTTCACATTGGTGTGTTAGCCAATTCCTGAACCGAGCGTGAGCATTTGTCGTTTCCTTCACTGATCTATCAGCTCTTGATCAAACAAGGCCTGTCCACTCGTGATGCCACTCTGTTGGATCCTCCTGGCCGTCCAATCACTATCCATGTTGATGTGGTCATCAAAGATGCGCTCACCCGTTTTTAAGAGTCTATCCAGGCTCAGTTTGCTCAGGGATTTTCGTCTATTCAGTACCAGCTGCTTACGACTTTGGCACAGTCTGGTCAGAAAGGGGGAGTAGCAACAACTGCAGATGCGTCTAGCAATTCTCATGATAATGATCTGCTCTCCGACTATGATTATTAAGGGAAGTTTCCTTGAAAAACCCTTTTTGTTGTCCTTTTAGGACTGTTATTGTTATGATTACTTCCCTACCTTTTGGATATCACCTTGGTTATCTTTATTTTGTGCCTTGGGCTTGTTTTGGATAACTTTGTGTTGCAGGAAATTTCTCTGTTACAACATCTATGTGTTGCAACTTCTATTGTACTAACAGTATGTGATGCAGGGGGAGTTAATCGTTTCTGCAAAGAGAGAAAATCTCATATGCAGGGGGAGTTCTTGTTAAATATGGATTCTGACCAATCTATGCCAAAGGGGGAGATTGTTGGCGCCATATTTCCGACTATTGAAGATCGAGGAAATCCGCCAAGTTTTGGAATTAAAAGATTGGCAAAGATTTGTTTTCCATATTTATTTTGGAATTTATTAGAGTCCTATTCTTATAATACTTCTATTAGGACTTAGATTTATTTCCATGTATTTTATTCTAGTTAGGTATCTTTTGTACTTATCTAGAATAGAAGTAGAAATCAACTAGGATTCTATTACCTAGTTAAATAGATTTCTTGGGGTTCAAGTTAGGTCTTAGGGCTTATTTTCGTGGCTATATAAGCCTCCAAGACATACAAGAACCGTGGGCATTATTTGGGAGAAAAACCTCTTCATAGCATCGAAGTTTTGCCAAGGCGTTCTGCGGAGCAGGACTGTGCCATCGTTGCACTGTGCCAACATATACAGATTTGCTGTATAGATCTCAAGGGAGATCAGCCGCGTTTTCTGAAGGGAGTTCAGGCTTGAAGAAAGTTCAAGGCACGCGGGTGGAGCTGCTGTTGGAAGAAACACGAAGTTCGAGTTGTGTACAAGAACGGCATATTACATAAAGAGGGAGTCTTTAGTGTTTTTAATAAGTCCTATTAATGTACACTGTAAATCTGAACTAGTGAAATCGTGTTTGCAGGTCCACGTGGATGTAGGGCACATTTGTGTCTGAACCACATTAATTCCTTGTGTTCATTTATTTGCTTTAAGTAGTTTATAACTGTGTTAACACAAGAATTATAGTTGTAACTGAATATTGTTTCCACAACTTAACTGTTACAACTTAGGTTAATTGATTTCTATAGGCATATAAATCAACAATTGGTATCAGAGCCTCTCACTAGATAAACATAGTGTGTGATTTTGGGAATTTGATTTATTTGCCATTTTCTTCCATAGGTACTATGAATGCTCATATGGAAGGCGGTTCCACGACTCGCCCACCACTGCTTACTGGAACCAATTACTCTTATTGGAAGACCAAGATGAAGATGTTCATCAAGTCAATGGATGAAGATGCATGGCGCACAGTTCTGACTGGCTGGAAACGACCTGTTGCCACAGATGAAAAAGGAATTCAAACTGAGAAACATGAAAAAGACTGGAGCAAAACTGAACAGATTGCCGCAAATATGAATTCCAAAGCATTGAATGCCATATTCAATGGAATTGATATCAATCAATTCAAAATCATCTCAGCATGTGAGTGTGCCAAGGAAGCATGGGAAAAACTTCAAACAGCCTATGAGGGGAATACCTCTGTTAGATTATCAAAACTTCAGATGCTTGCTACTCGTTTTGAGAACACACATGACATCCAAGACTATTCTAGTGATCGAATTCCCGACTACAATGCACAGACCTCCCACTAGATTTCGGATTGCACGAACACTGGCCCTTGGGGCGATCCTCAGTGGAACTCAGGGACATGTCACGATACAGCTGGTCCTCTAGTGAAGTCACGGTGATGTCTAGGTCATAAGGACTAATGGTGTACAACTATACCATACAAATCTCTACTAGATTATTGAGAACCACTTAGAGATTTCTAGGGTGAGGGAGTTCAGTCAAATCGTCAACTTACAAGCACCCACTTATGCATGTTGATATCACAATAATGTTTACTGATGAGATGCAGTACACATACACTAAGTGCTAGTCTCTTAATGGGAAAGGCCGATATCCTCATTGGTGGCGTCACCCTTCGACTAGGAACACGTTTAACAGGTATAATACTAAAGTAAATATCTCACGATCCTAAAGATCAATAACTAGTACTTGTAATAACTGTAAGGACTGTATCTATGTTTGAGACAAAGGGAAAAATATATAAAATGCCAAGGTGTTTTTATCATAAATACGAAAAATGATTATTTATTACAAGAATAAATGGAAAGGCCAAAGCCACAAGTTGGCTTGTTGGTCACCTACTCTAACAGGTAGATCACAATCAATCATATCATTTATATGATCCTAAAGTAATTTTCCTCACACTTGATAATGACCTAAGTTAATCTCGTTAATTCAAAATCTTCGTGTGTCAAGTCTAACTACCAATCAAAGATGCTCATAGAACTTAATTATACCAAACTAATGCAGTCCCTAGTTAATCTAGCCGACCACGTTAATCTTGAATAACGTTTTCTTTAGCTACCTTCATCGTTATGTTAATTGAATTACAGCTTACCTTACTATATTATTACTCGCTAACATGGCTTACTGCACTATTGCAAGGGGCTACACATAATTCAAACATTGGCAGAAGGAAAGAAAAATTCAACAGATTGGTTTTTCTTTATAGCTTGAAATAATTCTGAATTAAATACAGAATGAGGGAATTTTAGAAAAAGTTTTATCTGATCAGAAGGTTTGGATTGGTCAATGTGATTCCTACATCTATGTTCTCTAGTGGTATATGGAAACGCATATTATCCTAAGAGGAACATTCGACCTAACTATATAATTAATTAATTATCGAGTTTTTCAAAATAATTATAGGACCTCAACATTCTCTTCCGAGGTGACTCGTTCTACTTTTACTTGACCTCTATCAACAATCTCTCGGATCACATGATACTTCCTCAGAATATGCTTAGACTTCTGATGATATCTCGGCTCCTTAGCTTGTGCCACGGCTCCGGTGTTATCACAGTACAACGGTACTGGATTATTAGCATTAGGAATGACACCCAACTCTTGGATGAATTTCCTTATCCAAGTCCCTTCTTTTGCAGCTTCGGATGCTGCATTATACTCAGCTTCAGTAGTGGAATCGGCCGTCGTTATTTGCTTGAAACTCTTCCAACACATGATACCACCATTACGCGTGAATATAAATCCCGAGTTCGACTTTGAGTCATCCACATCCGATTGAAAACTAGAGTCGGCAAAGCCCTCTAATTTCAACTCGGCACCCCCCATAGACCAAAAGTATGTCCTTAGTCCTTCGTAAGTACTTGGGGATATCTTCCGCAGCCTTCTAGCGAGCTGGACCGGGGTTAGACTGATATCTGCTTTCGACACTCACAAAATACGTAATATCGGGTCTTGTACATAGCATGCTGTACATTATGATTCCTATGGCTGAAGCAAAGGCGTACTATTTGTGACACCCCTCTCTCGATTACCCTTATTATATGTAATCTCAGCGGAAGACTTTTGAAAACATGATTTTTGTGGATATAAAATTTACGTAAAAATTTTTCTTTTTAAATCAGAGGGAGAGAGGGCACAGCTTGCTAAACCCTAATAAACTATATAACACAAAAGCATACTACATGCAAGACTAGAAACTAACTAGACATAATGAACTTAATGCAAATGCGGACAGATTCAATGCAGAAGCTTTAAAAATTAATTCCTCTTAAACTACTCATGAAAATAATCCCAAAATTTCACCATACAACCTAACACGGGTCTAGATCACTCAGTTAAAACATTTTTGAAAGATGCATGGCCATTTGGGAGAAATAAATAAAATGGCACAGTCACTCAGTTTAAAAATCCAGAACAGGGGAGGGAGATTTGAAAATTCATAATAAATTCCTCACTGACCCAAAAACTACCAAATTTTTCCCCAAGGCAGAAAGGTAAGTTTAAAACATTTTTCAATTGGAAACAAAGCATTTGAGTGAGTAAAACTCCAGTTATACCAGAAAACACCCGAATGACCCTGTTTCGATGCAGCAATGAGAAACAAATCATAACTAAATAAATACTTACCCAAAACATGCAAAAGACCTATCAATATGATGAGAACAGAGAGATGCAGAGACTCCTAAAATCTCATAATTTTCTAAGCAGAACACCTATATGAAAACGATTTTAGAACATGGAGGTAAAATACGAAGAAACTAATAGCCGAAAGCATGCATACATATAAATAGTGAAAATTCGCTTTCGCTTACAAAAGGCTACGGATTACCGATTAATTATCCAAAATAGGGTAACCCTAATTACTATTACACATATCGTCTTTTAATAATTTCCACCGATCGGAGGAAGCGATCGGTAGAAAATACCTAAAACCGTATCAAACGTTTTAACAAGCATATTATACAAATAGAACCACATAACCAAATTAAGAGCCAACACTATCCACAACCCCTCCATACGATCCCCTTCCGATTCTCGAGCTCGATTCCCAACTTCACTCCTAGGGCCCTAAATCGGGTATACCTACAAACATACAACACCTATATGAGTCTTTGAGGACTCAATGAGAATCTTGAAGTAATATCGAATACACATAGCACATAGAGCATACATATATCTATATATATATATACATACATATATCTTATACATGAACATACAACATGAAGTAAAACAATCATATACTTCCCTTTTTCGTCGGCGATCTTCATTCACATAATTGTCACCACGCATAGAGTGAGATAATTCCCACCTTTATAACCCTATGATCCCAAGACCATAGAGTGAGAATATCCCACCTTTATAACCCTATGCCATGACACGTATTGAAGAATATAGAAGGAGTTTCCCACCTTTATAACCCTACGGTCCCAAGACCATAGAGTGAGATTTTCCCACCTATATCAACAACACCGAAATGCACATGCATGACATGAAAAATTGTCGGGAATCCCTCGGAAGAGTCAATCTAAGTTACGGATAAATAACCCCATGTAATTCGAACCATGACTAACTACGTGGGATCAAACCACCCCTAGGCCCTACGGCACCAGGCTCGCCGTACCCGAGAAATTTACCGTAACCTCGAAAGACTTTCCAACATAGTTTTTATCTTTTAAAAATTCATGACACTAATGCACCCACCCATGCACCCTTTCTACTTACCCTTCTCTCATCCTTACACCCAATGATTCACATAAGCAAGCAAGAGCACATAGGAGCACATAGAAAATACACATAAAGCTTCACAAAATCATTTAGCCATAAAAACATAGAAATAACCGAAACCTTAACATGCAAAAACAATCTAACAACAAAGTTCACTAGATCTAGTATTTTACAAGAATAAAATTCAAGACTTTCATCTTCACTTTTATTCAAGCAAATACACTAGATCTTCACATGCAAGAGTATTTTAAATCAAATTAGCACAACTCTTAGTTCTTAAACCATTTTTCATAGAAAACACTAGATCTTAACATGCAAGACTTTAGATCAACCATTAATCACTAGATCTTAACATGCAAGACCTTAGATCAACAATTAATCTCCAATCTTAACATGCAAGACCTTAAAACAACAATCAATCACAAGATCAACACATACAAAGTAGCAATCAAACCAAATAAACCATTTTAAGCATTTTACCTCAAAAATTCGAAAGTTCTTTAGTCAAGTCAAAAATTCATTTTCTTTTCAAAAATCAACAATCAAACACTAGATTAACACATGCAAGACACTAATTAAACCAAATAAGCCTTTTAAAACATTTTTCCCCAAAAATCCGAAAGTTTCATGGCTAGGCCAAAAATTCATTTTCTTTTCAAAAAATCAACAATCAAACACTAGATCAACACATGCAAAGTACTAATTAAGCAAAATAAGCCATTTAAAACATTTTTCCCCAATTTTTCGAAAAATCATAAATTTTCAAGAATAAAGCTATCTTTTCAAAATACTAACATGCAATCATCATCTAAAACTCATAATCACATAATATGCAAGAATCAAAAATAAAAACACATAAAAACACATAAAAACCGAAAATACTAGTGGTGTTGTAGGTTTGAGCAAGAATTCAAGAATTCTCACCTATACTCTTTAGGGGAAGGGCTTGTTAGCTCTTTTCTCTCTAATACAAGAAGAGATTAAGAGTTAGATTAAGAAAATAAGAAGAAAACAAAAGAAAGAGGAGGATGAAGAGCTTTGCTCTTTCGGGAAAGAAGAAGAAAGAAGAGGGAGGAGAAGCTTACTCCTAAGCTTGGCCGAAAATTCTCCTCTTGTTGAAATAGAAGGAGACTTTGAACTTAAGTATTGTAAGAGTGGAGTTTGAGAGTGAGTTTTGATCTTGGGCATGAGTGGTATTTATAGAGTTTTTGGAGACTTCAAAGCCAATGGAGAAGAAAGGAAAATACATTTTTTTGTAGGGGTGATTTTGCAAATTTTCGAAAGTTGAGATGGTGGTGGTTCTTGGGTGGTTCAAGCTTTGAGAAGGTGGTGGCTATGGTGGTGGTGGTGGCTGCCGAAATGAAGGGGAAGGAGAAGAAGAAAGAAAGACTTTTGGCCTTAAAGTGGTGTGTGGGAGTGGAAAAGCAAGCCTAGACTAGAGGGTAGGGGGCTAGCTTTTGGGTATTTCTTTCTATGCTCAAGGTACAACCACACCAATGCATGTCTTATACTAATTAATATGAAATTTTAAAAATCATGTGTGTGTGTGTGAGTGATGTCCGAAAATTCAAGAAAATGTGGGGAGCATTTTCTAATTTTCGACATAAATTTTAAAAATCCAAAAATGCATGGGGAAATTTATTTTCTAAAATTTTGTGTATGAAATGCTCATTTAAAAAATCACATGCAAGAATAAAATCTTAATTCATGAAAATAATTTATTTCGAAATAATATCTCGAAATATTTCCTAAGCACATAATTCACATAATTCACATAATCACATATTTCACCTAATCACATATTTCACATAATCACACAATGCACCCAATAATTTACGTAATCACATATTGCACACAATAATCCACATAATCACATAATTCACATAATCACATAATTCACATAATCACATAATTCACATAATTACCTAATTCACCTAAATACTAACCATGCAAGAATTATTATAAATTCTAATTTCGCAATTATTCACATAAAGGTGGTAAAATAACATAATATTATTTTACCGAAAATGCGGGGTGTTACACTATTCATCTCCTCGATTTCACTAGGTGTCTGAGGACACATGGATTTCGAGGGACGAACCCCATGGGACATTGGCAAGAATCCCTTCTTGGATTCTTCCATGCTAAACCGTTTCATAACGGTGTCTATGTACAGGCTTTGGGATAAGCCAAACATCTTTCTTGCTCTATCTCTATAGATGCGTATTCCTAATACGTATGATGCTTCTCCCAAATCATTCATTGAGAAACGTGTGGACAACCATGCTTTCGTTTTTTGCAACATTCCTACGTCATTCCCAATGAGTAGAATGTCATCGACATAAAGGACTAAAAATATCGCTGACCTCCCACTAACCTTCTTCTATACACAAGGTTCCTCTGGGTTCTTTTCAAAATCAAAACCTTTGATAGTTGAGTCGAACCTAATGTTCCAACTACGGGATGCTTGTTTCAATCCATAAATGGATCGCTGGAGTTTGCAAACCTTTTGCTCACTTCCAGAAGATATGAAGCCTTCCGGCTGTGCCATGTAAATGTTTTCCTCAATGTCTCCATTAAGGAAAGTTGTCTTCATATCCATTTGCCATATCTCGTAGTCGTACCACGCAGCTATGGCCAACAAAATCCTAATGGACTTCAGCATTGCAACTGGTGAAAATATTTCCTCATAGTCAACACCTTGCCTTTGAGTATATCCTTTCGCTACCAATCTAGCTTTATAGGTCGATACCTTTCCATCCACTCGAATTTTGTTCTTATAGATCCACTTGCAGCCTATGGGAACTATTCCCTTAGGTAGATCTACAAAGGTTCACATCTTGTTGGAGTGCATGGAGTCCATTTCGGATTTCATGGCAGTCAGCCCATGTCCCATGTCCGCATCCGATATGGCCTCATTGTATGTTCTGGGATCTTGTCCAACATCAACATGATCTTCATCATTTTCGAGAAGGAATAACCTATCAGGCATTTTCCGAACTCTTTCGGATCTACGTACTGAAGGTTCAGGAGGTATATTAGTGGATTGTTGTATTGGCTCGATTACTTGTTCTTGTGCTTGCACTTCACTTTGCGGTTCTTGAACTACTTCAAGTTCTATCATGCTGCCTTTTCTATCAGGTAGAAACTCCCTTTCTAGAAACGTGGCATTTATCGAAACAAATGTCTTTGCTTCCTTGAAATAATAAAACTGGTATCACATTCAGTCCTCGGGATACCCCACAAATGAGCATAAGTCGGATTTACTATCCAACTTATCTCCCACTAGTCCATTCACATAAGCGGAACAACCCGATTACATAATCCTAAAGGTAATTCTTATCGATCACATCACTATGAGACCCTAACGAAATTTACCTCACACTAGACGATGGCCGAAGTTCATCTTAAGATTATCAAAGTCTTCGTGTGTCAAGTCTAGCCTACCATTATGAGATGTCATAGATCCAACTCTACCAAGCTAATGCAGTCCCTAGTTTTGAAGAATTTAATAAATTCAGGGTCAAAAACTACAATTTAGAAGAAAAGGTGAGATAAATTGGAGAAGTCAACGTCACTTGACTAGTCAAGATCTCGGAGAGCCGTCCGGGAAATACGCTAGGAATCTAGACGGCCGTCTGAGTCAAGAATGATGAAGAATATGATGTCACGTCACTTCGGATGGCCGTCCGAAAAGTAGGGCAAATCGCCAGACGACCGTTCGGGAAGGCAAGACTGCGAAGTAAGGAACTTCAAATTGTACAAGGAAATTGCCTTTTCCCCAATTTTTCCCACCTTATAAAAAGCAATCTCAAACACACAATTAGGGGTCCTCTTCTTACACAATTTTGAGGGAAAAGAAGCAATAACGAAAACGAAGAATTTGAAGATTCAAGCATAATTATATCTTTCATGATTCATTTTTATTTAGCTTTTAATTGAATCATGAGTATCTCAACTCTTATTTTCTAGGATTTTATTTTTGAACCCTATGTGGGATTTATGAACCCTTTATATGATTTTATGCAAGTTTGAATGCCGGATTATTTCTCTTACTTTTTTATTAAGTGCATGAAACTGGCCACTTTATGTGGTTTATTGTTATTGTTGAATGCATGAATCAGAAGTTCGGTTTAACAATTAAAACTACGGTAGAAGACATTTTATTGTATAAACATATGAATATATTTAATCTCTTCAGTAGCCATTATTGAGATTTGTGCTTCATGTTGTATTCTAGATTTAATTGCGTAGGAATACAGTTATTCAATCTTGAATATTAGAATCGTAATACAAGCGGAAGTAGGTTATGATTAATTTAGCATCTTAGGTTAGTAATCTGATTTAATAACTTGCATAATTGAAGGAATTGGGGAATTTATAATCACATAAGGGGAATAATAAAATCCTAGGTTGGTTTACTCTGTGAATCTTCGTATTCAACTGCTTTTGTGCTCTTGCTTGTTTAATTTCCTTTTTAATTGATTTATTTTTATTTAACTTTATTGATCAACTTTAGACTGTGTAGGGTGGGCTTGATCACAGTTTGTAGAATATAGCTATTATAATTAGATAATTTAATATTCTCTATGGGATTAATATCTGAACTTTTGTCCACTATATTACTTGTTCGATACGTACAGTTGTGTATAGGTAAAATCACCAACAAGTTTTTGGCGACGTTGCCGGAGAATATTTTAATTATCTATTTTATTCTAATTCTAGATTTGAACAATTTTGACAACTCACCCAAAATTTTAATTTTAGTCTTTCTTTTATTTTTGTTTTAGCTACCGTTTTATGCGGAGGATACTCAATCTCGAGTGAGAACTGTTTGACCCTGAGATCGAACGCATTTGTCAAGCCGCTAGAAGACTCTAACGCGAGAACAATATAATGGGAGATAATCAACACAGAGACGAAGAAGGGTATTTGCTCGATGATGACGGAATTCAAATCCAAGACCAACCCCTACGGCATCCACAAAGCCTATCGTTAGACCACGAGCAATTCAGGACTACATAATCTCGATTCTTGATGGATTCCACCTAAGCATCCAGTATCCACCCATCGAGGCTCATAATTTTGAGATCAAACTAGGCCTCTTAACGATGCTCCAAAATAACGGGATATTTAGTGGATTGGCAGGTGAAGATATGCATCTTCACATTCTCAATTTTCTAGATACCTATAACTCACATCGTCAAAACGACATTTCGCAAGAGGCGCGGAAATTAATTCTCTTCAAACACTCCCTGAAGGAAGAGCTCGCTAGTGGTTGATGTCCCAATTCCTTACTCTATCTCGTCATGGCCTCTACTCCTAAAACTTTTCAGGAAAGTTTACTCGTCACGAGAGATGGATGAAAGAATACAACGAGAGATTCACAATGTCGTCCAAGATCAAGGAGAAGCACTATTCGAAGCATGGGAGAGATTCAAGACCCTTTTGAGGCAGTGTCCAACTCACTGAGTGGATCAATGGTAGCAAATCCACATGTTCTACCAAGGAATTAACGAGAATGCGAAAACCATCTTAGATGCATCAACCCGAGGTAATTTTATGAGTCAATATGTACCTGATGCATTTATTTTGTTGGATCAAATTGCGCAGAACATGTTTGCCAAATCAAGCAAAAGAACAGTTAATGGAGCCAAGAAGGTTACTGGGGTTTTGGTACTAGATGCAATCACGGCCCTTCAAGCTCAAGTGACCCAAATTGCTAAACATAATCAGCACCTTTTACAGCACATTAAAGTAAACCCAGCCAGACCAAGCCGTGGATTCTCCGTGCTGTCAAATTTACGGGGACAATCAATACACACTCCAATGACAGCAAGAGATGGGACCGGTCAACTACATCAACAATGCACCTCACGAATTCCAAAATCAAGGGTGGAGATCATAAGGGAAGTATGGAGGAAATCAACAAGGCCAAGGGTACCAAACACCTCAAGGTCAATTCCAAAATCAAGCCCTTTCTCTACAGAGCTATAAAGGGAACAATCCACGAGGCCAAAATTCAAGCTCAAACATTGATGAGGTGTTAGCCCAATTTATGACCGCCACTCAAGCCCCGTTGCGCAACTTAGACACTCAAGTGGCACAAATAGCATCGAATTAGGAGAATTGTCCTGAGCGTTGCCATCAAATACGGAGGACCCTCGAAAACAAGAGTTTAAGACTTGTGAATCTAATAATCGAGGAGAAGGAAGAAATTCAAGAGAAACCGCAAGCCCCTGTAGCCGCATGGGTAGCACCGATCCTATACTCCCAAAGATTTCGTAAGAAAAAGATCAAGGCCGAAACTTGCCAAGCAGTCACACTGAAGAACGTGAAGTAATTGGAGGAAGTCCCACTGAACAAGAAGAGAAACATGGCAATCGAGAAGCCGGTAGAGATTGTGGAGAAAATATCAATTCAAGAAGAAAGGCCAGCCACATTGATTACACGGACCCCACCGATTCCATATCCTCAAAAGTTTCTAAAGAAAAAGCTCGATGCCAAATACCAAAGCTTCTTGGAAAAGTTGAAGGAAATTCACATCTATATCCCATCATTGAAACACTTCAATAAATGCCAAAGTGGGTGAAATTACTCAATGACCTCGTAACAAAGGGGAGGAAATTGCAAGGGAACGAGATAGTCCAACTCACCGAGCAATGCAGTGCAATTCTTACACGGTCCTGTTAGAATAGGTGACCAACAAGCCAACTTGTGGCTGTGGTCTTTCGTATTTATTATTGTAATAAACGAACCTTTATTCGTATTAATGATAAAACATCTTGGCATTCTATATCTTTGTCCCTTTGTCACAAGCATAGATATAGTCCTTACAGTTATTACAAGTACTAGTAATTGATCGTTAGGATCGTGAGATATTTACTCAAGTATTATAACTGTTAAACGTGTTCCTAGTCGAAGGGTTACGCCACTAATGAGGACATCGGCCTTTCCCATTAAGACTAGCACTTAGTGTATGTGTACTGCATCTCATCAGTAAACGGTATTGCGATATCGGCATGCATAAGTGGGTGCTCGTAAGTTGACGAGTTCACTGAACTCCCTCACCCTAGAAATCTCTAAGTGGTTCCCAATAATCGAGTAGAGATATCTATGGTATAGTTGTACACCATTAGTCCTTATGACCTAGACATCACCGTGACTTCACTAGAGGACCAGCTGTATCGTGACCTGTCCCTGAGTTCCACCGAGGACCATCCCAAGGGCCAGTGTTCGTGCAGTCCGAAATCTAGTGGGAGGTCTGTGCATTGTAGTCGGGGATTCGATCGCTAGAATAGTCTTGGATGTCCTGTGTGTTCTGAAAGTTTTGTAATCATTCTAAGTCTCTGGCCAGAGCTGACTGAGTGATGATTAGAGATTTTGATTCTCTAAGTCATGCACGTAAGGATTACAACACTTAGAACGATCGCACCGTCATCGAACATATAAAGAGGTCTCGATGAACCAATGCCTCTAGTTCGATCGGGACATATGAATCGAAGGGACCGTACTGTACGTTAACTATATCTGAAGGTTCTTGCAGGCACTTCATTTGTATCTAGGGAATCATGACGCGTAGTTGCTAGACGCCAATCTTGATTCGTTGGGTGATTAAAGTGAAACGAGCTTCGTCTTAATCGTAACTCTAAGGGGACGAGTTTTGACCACAAAGGGTTGTGGGCCCACGGCTAGCTTACACCTGAACCATCGAGGGTCACACTGCTCGTGCACATGAGATCTTTGAATAAACGGTCAGAGATAAAATAGTTTATCTTTGCATGATTGGAAGTCAATATGATTGATTCCAACGTTCGTAATTTGGAATTATGAATGAGAATAAGAAAAGGAAAAGAATAGGCGAACGTGTTAGTGAACTTTCTAAATCGGGAAGTTTCCAAATTTAGAAAGTGCACTGAACTAGGGTTTCCACTTTTGGAAAGTTGGAAAATGAGAGATGGCACTCGTAATGACGAGGATATTATAATGATTCCGAAAATGTAATTTTTGCAATTTTCCGATCATTGAATTGAGAGAGACGAGCAAGTGAAGGAACTAACGAGCTTAAGCTGTTGGGCCCGGTCCAACTTAAGCCCGTTAGGGTTTTATGCAAGGGACTATAAATACTTGATTTATAGGCCTTGCACAAACAACACAAGACCTAATCAAAACCCTAGCCGCTCACCTCTCTCTCTCGGCCTCTCTCCCACGGCCATCACCGGCGCCGTCGCCGGATTCTCGCCGGAATCGGCCGTTCATCGGCCGACTGCCTTGGTAGTCTCTTTCCTTCTCTTTTTCTTCCGTTTTTCTAACTACTTCGTGTCTAGTGCCACGTTTTAGTAGATCGAAGTATACGAGGTGAAATCCGAGAGGAGGAAGATCAAAGATCGAGGAATCGAAGAGCAGCACACGAGCCGAAGCCGCACGCTGCCCCACGCGCCGCCCCGGAAGACCGCGCGTGAACCTCACGCGCCGCCGTGGCCGATCTGGTGCTGCTGCCGCTGCACCGCTGCTGCCCCGATTGTACGGATTGGTTTCCGTAGCAATCTCTACTTGCTAAACGCTCCTACCTCACGCTTCAAGAGGTAAATATACGAAACCCTAGTTTCGATTCGTTTATGTTTAAACTATGATTTCATGTTTGCTATCGTATGATTTTATGTGATTATGTGTAATCGTTTTAATCTTTGCAAGCATGTTAATTGGTTTAAACGCGAGCATGTTAATTGATTTAAATTCGGTTAAATTATTTAGCATGTATGTTGTTTTTAATTTCGCTGGAAGCGCAAAGGTACGCAATTAATTGATTTAATTTGTCGGGCATGTTCTATGTGTGTTTTAAAGTCGTTTAAATCACATAAATTTTTGTTTTCCGCTGCGTATGCGTGCCCGAAACCCAACAGGTCCCTCCCACAAAAACTCGGCGATCCAGGTAAGTTTACTATCCCTTGTAATATAGGAGGTAAAACGTTTAGATTGCTCATTGATTTAGGTGCTAGCATTAATATTATGTCTTATTCTACTTATAAATGTCTTGGGTTAGGTGAGATTGAACCAACGGCTATAACTCTTCAATTAGCCGATAGGTCTTGAGTTTACCCAAGGGTATTTTAGAGGATGTGCTAGTCAAAGTAGATAAATTTATCTTCCCTATTGATTTTGTGATACTTGATATAGATGACGATAGGGAGATACCTCTTATTGTGGGAATACCATTCTTAGCTACGTCGATAATTCTAATTGATTGTGCTACTTGTGATTTTACTATGACGGTGCATGATCAAACAATCAAATTTAATGTCTTTTGTGAAAATAAAATTCATGTGAAAACAATGATTGTTTTGCTATTGATTTTAGAAATCTAGAATTTTTTGGTGTTTTGATCTTCGACCCTTGCGAAGCATCTTTGATTGCAGAAGACAGTGGCAGAAACGACAATAAGAAGGAACATGTTTGCTTTATAGACTCAACCAAAACTTCTCCAAAAGATAGTCCTGAGATAGTTGGGGAGTTGACGGCAAAGATAGTACGAAAAAATTGATGTTGCCACCCAATGAGCAAAACAAGCCACGAGAGAAGGCCTATGCAAGTTATTGGGGTCATGAGGATAGAGTCAAACGGAAATTTCACAAAGGACAATAGGTGTCATTGTGCAAATCCCGTTTTTTGGTTATTCCCAAGTAAGCTCAAATCAATGTGGTTGGAGCCGTTCAATGTCCAAGAAGTTCTTCCAGATGGAGCAATCGAGATAAAGGACCGTGACTCAGATCGCACATTCAATGTGAAAGGGAGCCGAAATAAAAAAGCAACGTCCGGCTGAAGACTATAAACTTAGCGCTTCTCGGGAGGTAACCAGAGCTTTATGATTTTCGTATTTGTTTTCTTTATTTTATTTTTATGATTTTTCATAGGCATGCATTCTAATGATTTTAATTGATTTTCAATTTTTGGAGTCGAAATTGCGATCAAGGGATCGAGACGACCGTTCGAGTATCCAAGCACAAACTCAGACGGTCGTCCGAGTTCAAGAGGGTCATAGCCAACTGATCCAGTTTGAGACAGCCTTCCGGATTTTAGTTCACAATATCGGACGGCCGTCCGAAATCCTGACATCCCAGAATCAACTCACGCATTTTGAGACGGTCGTCCAAGTTTTAGATCGAAATCTTAGACATCCGTCCGCGATCCTGAGGTTCAAAACCAACCTACGCATTTTCAGACGACTTTCCAAAACGCAGTTCAAATTCGGGACGGCCGTACGAAAGTGTATTGAGCGTTTTAAAAGGGCAGAAAATTAGATTTCTCCCCACATTCCAAAACCATTCTCAAATTTTCACTCGAGCCCTAGCTTCTCCCCCTCAACTTTCATCAAATATTCTTGGAAATCTCACTTTCACATTTACAACCCACACACTCGACCACTTAAGTTGATAGTATTTTTGTTGGTATTGG